GGGGGGGCTCTGTAAAAGCACTAGGCTTAGGGGAGCCAGTGGGAGGCCAGCGTGTGTGGCCATCTCCACAGAGAAGGGCAGAGCCTCAAGCTAGCTGCCCTTGAGACCCCCTCATTTTCTCCTCCCACACATGAGAAGGATTTCTAGAGGTCTGCTGTTTCTGAGCTTTAATGAGTATGTTTGGAAACCGGTGTAAGAAAAACCTGTTAAGCACTCTTCCCACCCTGGTAGGCAGCAACTCTTAGGACCCGTTCATGCAAACTGTTTCAACCACACTCAGCTGTAGCCCTGTTTTAGCTTGATCTTTGAATGCCGGCTTTTTTTTTTTTTTTTAAGACATTGTCCTAATGTAGTAAAGGCTATAACTACAATTGACCTGATCTCTCTCTCTCTCTCTCTCTCTCTCTCTCTCTGTTTGTGTGTGTGTGTGTGTGTGTGTGTGTGTGTGCCGTGTATTTATTTGAGTTGTATAGGTGTTTGGGGATACATGTTCCTATGCAGGTGAAAATACCAGAAGAAGGCAAACAATGTCTTACCCCATTATTCTGTACCTTGCTCCTCTGAGGCAAGGTTTCAACTTGAACCTACAACTTTTTATTTTTTCCAGCTAGTCTGGCAGCCTCAAAGCCCCAGCAATCCTTCTGTCTTCTGCCCCCACATCACTGGAGTTACAGGTATTTTTGAGGCCATACTAGCTTTTCACCTGGGTCTTCTGAGCTGGGCAGCAAACTTGCTTAAGCATGGAGCCATGCTTTTTTTAAAAAAAAAGCCTGCCCCATGTTGCTTTTTTAAAAAAAAGTTCGGTCTTTTTGTTTTGTTTTTTGAGACAAGGTTCCTCTGTGTAGCCCTGGCTGAACTGGAACTCACTCTGTAGACTAGGCTGGCCTTGAATTCACAAATCCTCCTGCCTCTGCCTCCTTAGTGTTGAGATTAAAAGCAAGTACCACCACACTTGGTGTAAAAGATTCATCTTTTTAATTATGTATATTTGTGTGTACTGTGTGTGTTTGTGTGAACTTACAAGTGTGTGTTTGTGGCTGTGTATGTGTGTACTGGGCCAGAGCAGGTGGCTACAGCTATCAAGAGGCATCGGTTCCCCTGGAGCTGGAGTTGTAGGCAGTTATGAGCTGCTGATACGGGCACTGGGAAATGAGCTTGTGTCAATGCTTTCACAACACTGAGCACTCTCTCCAGCCCCCTCACCCTTTTTTGAGAGAAAAAAAATTGTTTTTCAGACTGGCCTCCACCTCCTCGGACCAAGTGTCCAGCTCTAACACATTTAAAGGACATATGCTAGGGTAGGATGGACAAGAGGTCCAGAGACAAGCTGTAAGCACCAAGTTCATTTTTTTTTCTTTTCTGGTTTTTGGAACAGGGTTTCTCTGTATAGCCTTGGCTGTCCTAGACTCACTTTGTAGACCAGGCTGGCCTCAAACTCACAGAAATCTGCCTGTCTCTGCCTCCCAGAGTGCTGGGATTACAGGCGAGTGCCACCATGCCTGGCTCCAAGTTCATTCTTGATGGCACTGACTTTTTTTTCCTGAGATGAATTTATTTATTATGTATATAGTATTCAGCCTGCATGTATGCCAGCAGGCCAGAAAAGGGCACCAGATCTCCTTATAGATGGTTATGAGCCACCCACCATGTGGTTGCTGGAAATTGAACTCACGATCTTTCAAAGAACAGTCTCTGCTCTTAACCTCTGAGCCATCTCTCCAGCCCTCCCATTTCATTTTTGAAGAACCTTTATCTGTGTATTTTTTTGGCTTCTCACATTACTACAGCTTCCTGAGACATTATTCCCTTAGACCTCCAGCCTCAACACTATGTTCTTCTCCACAATCCCTAGCTCTTTTGTTGTCCCCATTTGCATGACACCACACTTTCCTCCAACACCCAGCAGCTTAGACTTGCAGGCATCATAGGGTCAATGTGTGTTTTTCCATGACAGCTCTGTAAATGCTTGAAGGTTTATCAGAGCCCTTTAACAGCTCCTCCTCAAACTATTCCATTTATCACTGGACAGTAAGGTACATTTTTGTTTGCTGAGTCTAACTAAGAAAGAGTCTGGCCCGACATGGGGTGCATGCCTCTTAAGAATGATCGAGTGAGTTTGTTTGTTTATTTGTTTGTTTTTAGTCTCCTGTCTCAAAATTTCCAGGCTGTCTGAGCTCCAGTAACCCCAAATTGGTCTCCATCACACCAATTGTCAGAGTTACTGTGATAAGCTAATAGAGACTTCCATTGAGAAGACTCCAGGAGCCCCAGGGCCTGTGTCTCCACCCCGTAGCTTAGGTTATGGGAACTTCCTAGACTTGTCTGAGGAAGAAGTTGGTGCTTCTTGGCGCTTGGACCCCTGAAGAGAAGTGTACTGTCTACAGGTATGCTGACTAGTTCTAAATATGGAGAGTCGCTTATGCAGATGCCTCCTGTTTCTGGCTGCTGATGGGGCAAGACCTGGAAGACACACCCTACTCCATGCTGGCCCGACCTGCTGACAAGCCTTTTCTCCCCTTCCTTAGCAAAACTGTTTTACTGCTGACTTCTTTGGTCACACTCGTCAACCTTTTCAGCATCTACTTCAGATTTCCTCACTACCCTGTTCTTCCGCTCACTTCCCTTCAGATGGACAAGAGCAGCACTCCTCATCATGGCTGACAAGGCCTGCTGTAGCCCATCCAACACCTACTCCAGTCACATCATTCATTCCTCTGTATCTTCCCTCACTAGCCTTGAACTCTCAGTGTTCGTTTTCATCAGCTTAACAAGTGCTGGGATCATAGGCATAAGCTACCGCACAGAATTTTATTTTTCATAGTATGTATACATATCTGAATTGTAGTGTGTGTTGTTGTTGTTGTTGTTGTTATTGAGGGTCAAACCCAGAGTCTTGCATAGGCCAATCAAGTTCTATGTTACTAAGCTACAATTCCAATCATAGATACCTGCATATTCCATTACTTATTTTGATCACCCTGTTTTTTCTTTATATTTATTCTTCTCTCACATCCTATATCCTGACAGCTGTGTCTCCTCCCAGCCCCTCCCCCTACTTCCATAGATCCACTTTTTTCATTTCCCTTCAGAAAAGGGCATATCAACCAATCAATCAATCAAGACATATCAACCAAACATGGCATATCAAGTTACAATAAATCTAAGCACCCCCCCCCCCCAACAAGGCAACCCAGTAGAAGGAATGGGATCCCAAAAGCAAGCAAAAAAGTCAGAGACAGCCCCTGCTCACACTGTTAGAAGTCCCACAAGAACACCAAGCTACACAACCATAACATATCCAGAGACCTAGGTCAGACCCAAACAAGCTCCATGATTACCAGGTCAATCTTGGTTACACTGTTTGTTTGTTTGTTTTGTTTTAAGACCCCGTCTTGCTATGTATCCTTGGATAGCTTGGAGCTCAGCATATAGACTAGGCTAGCCTCAAACTTGCTGGGATCATCTTGCTTGTGCCTTTAGAGTTCTGACATTACAGGTGTACTCTGTCATGTTCTTTTGTCTCATCTTTTTGTTTCTGCATAACTTGAGGCACATGAGCTGGCATATAATGCGTACTCAGTAAACTCTTGTTCAAAAAATGGACAAATGGATGGGGTTGTCTAAGCGACTAGCCACACTCACATAACAGCCTGAGCAACTTATCGGAACAAAGTTTTTCCTTTTGCCTCAGACTCTATTTTGGCTTTATTCTGAACTGTCATTCAGTAAATTCTAATAGCATTATCTTTATTTTTAAATTTTGATTTATGTGTAGTTTGAGTTTTGTTTTGAAAAAAGTTTATAGCCTGGGTCATTGTGTAGTACAGAATGCACTCTAATTCAAGATACTTTCCTTGCCTTAGCCTTCCAAGTGTCATGATTATAGGCTGCTCTTGGCAATTAAAATGGAGGAAGTTGGTTATATAGTTGCTGGAAAGGTACAAAAGTGACATGAAGTGAGTGCAGAGATGAATTCAGGAAGCTGTGTGCACCTTCCTAGACTGTAGAAAGAGGAAAAGATGGGTGCTGGTGGGCACTAGACACTCAAAGGGCCTTCTGGTCCTGAGGCTTCATTCTTTTATTAATTGTTATCTTGAGACACTCTTTCTATGTAATCCAGTCTATCCTCAAACTGTGACAGTCCTCCTGCCTCGGCCCCCTGAGTATTGGCAGTACAGTCATCTGCCAGCATATCCACGTTATGGGGCAGGTGGAGATGCTCTGGATGCCAAAGCTGGCCCGTGGCAGCCAAAAGAACCTGGCAAGTAGAACCAACTGATACTCAAGAGGGTGATGAGAGAAACAGGAACAACAGGAAAGACATCCGCTCTCCTCCTTCTGCCAGGGTCCATTTGTCTAGTGTGAGTGATCCTTTAGCAAGGAGTCTAAACAGTGTCATTTGAGGAGTTCAAGCCCAGCATCTTTTGCATCATTTGGCAGAGATAAGGCAGCTCTACCTGCAGATAAGAAGTAATTGCTTAATAAACATGATTACATCATGCCTAGGGACACTAATTCTGAATCATCCATTCTCCCAGGGTGCATTCCTCATGTTCCAGCTCAAGACCAAGAACATACTTATCAAGGTTGTCTTCATGTTGAATGTGTGTCTTTGGCTCCACAATGTCCCTAGAGGAAGAAATAGCCCAGAGGTAGGGCTCCTCTTTTGGATTTACAGTCTCCCTGTATGCTTGCCATTTTATCAGGGGCCAGGAAAGGTTTGTTAGGTGTCAAATCCAGTACTTCAATCATGCTAGGTATGTGATCTTCCACTGGGCTATACTCTTACCCCTCTTTAATGTCTTCTAAATACCTTTATGCCTTCAAGATTGGGGGGGGGCAGGCTGGAGAGATGGCTCAGTGGTTAAAAGCCGTAGCTTAGCTTTTAGATTCCAGAGGATCTAAGTTCAACTCCCAGCACCCACATGGCAGCTCCCAACTGTCTGCAATTCTAGTTCCAGGGAACCTGACACCTTCACAGACATACATGCAGGCAAAATACCAATGCACATGAATGCAAATTTAAAAAAAATTTTATGCTTGGTGGTGGTGTCACATGCCTGTAATCTCAGCACTAAGGGAGGCAGAGGCAGGCGGGTTTCTGTGAGTTCAAGGCTAGCCTCATCTACAAAGGGAGTCCAGGACACCAAGGCTACACATAGAAGCTCTGTCTTGAAAAAAACCAAAATTTAAAAAAAGAAAAAGAAGAAAAAAATTAAATAAATTTAAAAAGATCTGGGCATAAAACCGTCTGGCATGTCAAGTGCTTGAGTCATCTTGATGCCCTTCATTTTCTTTGTGAGAACAGAGAAAATTTTTTTATTTATTATTATGTATATATTATTTATATAAGCGCTTCATCTGCATGTTCATCTGCACACCAGGAGAGGGCACTGGATGCTATTATAGATGTTTGTGAGCCACCATGTGCTTACTCAAGGGTCTCTAAAGAGAAGACAGTGCTTTTAACCACTGAGTTATCTCTCTAGCCCTAGAGGTTCATTAAGAAACAGTTTTATTGTATATTGGAAGAGGTGTTCAGTGGGGGGGGGGTGCTTAGAAAAGGTAACTACAGTCAAATGTTGATGCAGGTCTTGGGTTTTGTTGGTTGGTTGACTGGTTTTGGTTAGTTAGAGACAGGATCCTTACTCTATAGTTCAGTATGGCCTGGAACTCTGTGTAGCCCAGGTTGGCCTTTAATGCTTTGAAATCGTCACGCCTCGATCTTCCAAGTGTTAAATTATGAGTGTGAGTTACTATGCATTGCTTGCAGGGGGGTGTTGTTGTTGTTGTTTTCTTTTGATGTAGGGTATTGCTATGTAGCCCAAGTTGACTTCAAACTCGCAGCCCTGCCTTTGACTTCTGATTGCTAGATACACACCTTGGCTAGGCAATCTCCCTTCTGTACGTGGTGGTGTACTTCCTTGACAACAGTGCTTGTGCTGTCGATAGAATGAGCTCGGGTATTCCAGGCCGGCCCAGGCAGTATTAGAAGACCTCGCCACAAAAACCAAACTAAAACAAAACAAAACCCACACAAATCTAATAGACCCCTCTAAGCGGAATTAAGTATATCACGGAATGTATGACCCCACTGAAGGCAGGGCACCTTCGGACACCAACACACACAGGTCTGGCTAGGGACTAAGATTAGTTAGAAGGCCTTGCCTGTCCCCACTGGTTGCCTCCTTCAACTCAGCCAGAAAGCGAGCAGCGGTGAAAGAGTTGATGCGAGCAGAGAACCGCCGGGCCCAAGGGGGCGCCCTTCTACTTCGGGGAGCGGAAGGGCAGTGGTGCCCTCTAGCGACTGCGCTTCTAGGAGTGGAAGGTTCCAGAGCGTCCGTTGCACAGCAGTGGGACGGGGAAGCCCCTTCCTAGCAAGGCCTCGTCCTAGGTACCCTGAATCGAAGATCCGAACCCCATTGTCACCCTCTGCCCTATCCCTGCCCTTCTCAGGCTCCTGGGACCTAGACTGAGCAGCAACATGCAGCCCTCGGGTCTTGAGGGTCCCCGCGCGCTCGGCCTGCGGCCTCTGGGGAACTGGCTGTTGTTGCTGGAGGTGCTTCTCCTAGTTCCGTCTCTGTGGGTAACCTGCACCCAGACCACTTCGAACTCCTCCAGCGTTTCGACCACCCCAGGCACTTCCAATGCCTCCACCATGCCAGGCACAACCAGTGACCCTCACCTTCGAGAGCAAGCACGGGCCCTGATGCGCGACTTCCCGGTTGTAGACGGGTGTGTATATGCGGGTGTGGGGTAAAGTGGGGTAAAGCTAAGCTAAACTATGAGGAGGCCCCCTTCGCACCCTCCCTTCGTGTGCTTTCCCTTCGGTCATCTGTGGGTGTCCACTCCTCCTTTAGCCGCCTTGCCTATGGAACTGCTTTCCATTTGGCCACAAGGGTCTCCGTATTTGTGAGACAGCGGGGCCTGGTGATGGGGGGTGCGGGGGAAGGCAAGGTCCAGGCTGATACGCCTCTCCTGGAGTCTGTGTTCTCACACTGACCACAACATCTCCAGCCATAACGACCTGCCTCTGCTCCTGAGAGATCTTTTCCAGAACAAGCTGCAGGATGTGAATCTACACAATTTCACCCGTGGCCAGACCAGCCTGGATAGGCTCAGAGACGGCCTTGTAGGTGCCCAGGTAACAGCGGGGCCAGAGTGATGGGAATGTTGGGACCACAGAAAGCTGAGTAGGCCAGGTTCGCAATAACTAAGTATGTGGTGCATACAGTACAACGTCATGCAAAGACGAGGACTCATACCGGCTTGGAAGGCTAACCCAAATGAGCTGCAGAGATGGTCAGGTTCATTGGAAACACATAGAAAACAGTTAGAAAACCGCTGGTGAGTGTGGAGATTGCTGGAAGCACAAAGCATATGATAGCGTTGCCTGGGACATTAACACAGGATCATGGACCAACAAGCAGCTATGAGTCACTCATCCACAGCTTGTTCACTGGCTGCCAAGTTTAATAATCATAAGGGTACTGTGAGGTGCCAGTGACTCAAATAGGTGCTGAGGCAGACACAGCGGGCCTGGGGGTTTGGATACAGTACTGGCCTCACTGTGGACCTCTGTACCTAACCCTAGTTCTGGTCAGCCTATATCCCGTGCCAAACCCAGGACAGGGATGCTGTGCGTTTAGCCCTGGAGCAGATTGATCTCATTCGACGCATGTGTGCTGCTTACCCTGAGCTGGAGCTTGTGACCTCAGCTGAAGGTGAGCTGGGAAAGAGCCTGGGGTTGACCCCAGTGTTCCTCCTCTTGGGATACAGTCATTTGACTCGCCAATCTTTTCTAGGTCTGAATACCACTCAGAAGCTGGCGTGCCTCATTGGTGTTGAGGGCGGCCACTCGCTGGATACCAGCCTTGCTGTGTTGCGCAGTTTCTACGAGCTAGGAGTGCGCTACCTGACACTCACCCTCACCTGCAGCACGCCATGGTGAGCACAGTGCCTGGCTGGGGTGCCATGGCAGACAGTGCGGTGAGGAAATGACCCTCTGTGGCGTGGACCTGACAAAAGAAATGAAAACAGTGATCCACTTGGGGGAGGGCTGGACTCCTGGCAAGTCCCTCACTTGCAGGAAGTAGCTGGGCCTGGTCCTCATCTGTCCTAGATGTAGGATAGAAAAAAGAGAGTCCCCAGTCACTAATAGCCATGCCGTAGCCATTAAGATTTGCTCTCTCATCTGTCTTGCAGGGCAGAGAGTGCCACGAAATTCAGACACCATTTCTACACCAACATCAGTGGGTTGACAAGCTTTGGTGAGGTGAGAACTGGACCCTTGCACGTCCCCTCCCCTCCCCTGTATGTTTCCTACAGATACTTGAACACATCCTCCCTCTCTCCCAAATCCAATTGTGCCCACAGAAAGTAGTAGAAGAAATGAACCGCCTGGGCATGATGATAGACTTGTCCCATGCCTCAGACGCCTTAGTGAAGCGGACCCTGGAGGTATCCCGAGCTCCTGTCATCTTCTCCCACTCAGCAGCTAGAGCTGTGTGTGACAATCTGCTGAATGTTCCTGATGACATTCTGCAGCTTCTGGTGAGTAGAGTAGCCACCTGGGGCCCTCAAGCTGAGTGAGGACTAAGTCCACTGCCATCTAGAGCATCAGCTCTGACCCCTTTAGCAAATCTCCAAAAATATTTACTTACTTATAATTCATAACAGAAGCAAGATTACAGTCGTGAAGTAGCAATGAAAATAATTCATGGAGCTGGGCAGTGGTGGTGCATGCCTTTGATCCTAGCACTCGGGAGGCAGAGGCAGTCCAGGACAGCCAGTGGTACACAGAGAAATCCTGTCTCAGAAACATAATAATTTTATGGTTGGGGATCACCATACATGAAGAACTGTATTGAAGGGTTATAGCATTAGGAAGGTCAAGAACCACCAGTATAGAAGGTCAGAGTTTCTCTGTTTAGCTCTAGCTGTGCTGGAACTCTATCTATAGATGAGGATGGCTTCAAACTCACAGAGCTCTGCCTGCATCTGCCTCTTACGCACTGGGATTAAAGGTGCGTGCCAATACACTCAGTTTACCTAGAGGGTCTTAAAGCTAGACATGCTTGTAATCCTACCACTTGAGAGACTGAGGCAAGAGGATCTTGACTTTGAAGCTAGCCTGGGCTATATGGCAAGATCTTGTCTCAAAAAATCTAAAAGGGTAGTAAAGAGGAAGATTCTTGTTTGTTTGTTTGTTTGTTTGTTTGAAATTGGACATCTTACATAAATAGGCTTGACCTGGATCTAGTGACATTTCTGTTTCAGCCTCCCAAGGGCTGAGCTTAGAAAAACGTTCCACTGTGTCTGGGAGACTTTTTTTCTTTCTGGTTTTTCGAGACAGGGTTTCTCTGTGTAGCCCTGTCTGTCCAGGCCTGGGCCTTGCCTGGACATCACCACATCACCAGTTGTAGTCCAGGTTGGCTTTGAACTCAAAGAGATCTCTCTGAGTTCTGGGATTAAAGGCGTGTGCCACCAGGCACTGGGAGGAGGTTCTTGGCCCTGAGTATCAGGGGGGTTAACCCTCCTTCATCTCTGAAAAATTCACACTAAGTAAGTCAGTTTCTTCCAGGGACCACCCCCCTCCCTAAACCCAAGAGAAAAGGTTCTTCCAGCCCCTGCTAGATTGCTGTCCTGCCAGGGTTCCCACAGCAAGGGTAGAGCAGTCACAGTCCAGAGGGCCTGGACTGACTGCCCCTTCGTCTCTCCCTGTAGAAAAAGAACGGTGGCATTGTGATGGTGACCCTGTCCATGGGGGTGCTACAGTGCAGTCTGTTTGCTAATGTGTCCACTGTGGCAGGTAAACCCCACCCCCCACTCTTAAAATTAAAAAAAGATAGTGCTTATGGATATTTTCTCTGCATGTATGTCTGTGTTTCATGTGTATCCCTGGTGCCCCATGGAGATCTGGAGGCCAAAAGAGCGAGTCAGCTCCTTTGGAACTGGGGTTACAAGTAGTTGTGAGACATTGTGTAGGTGCTGGGAATAAAACCTGGGTCCTCTGCAAGGGCAGCCAGTGCTCTTAACCACTGAGCCAGCTCTATAACTACCACCCCACTCCCCAGGCTCACACACACCTCACCTCCTTCCAGAGTTTCAAGGTGAACTGTGGCCACCAGGGCTCTAGGACAGCTCTGACAGTCTAGCACATGCTGGGCAATGGCAGACCTTCCAGGGACTGTAAACTCAGATCATCACAGCCACCCGGATTTGAGACCAGGCAGTACTGCTGGCCTTGATACCCCTGAGTGCCATTTTGGCTCTCAATCCTCGAACCACTATCATTTTCCAAACCTCTAGACAGGACAGGCAGAGCCCCCACAAGGTCCTTAAGGGGCCTGGAGGAGGGAAAGGTCTAATCTAGCCTTATCCTCGTTGTTGCCATATTCAGACTCATAAATGTCCAGGAGGACTGCAGAGGCAACTGCCATGGCCTGGAGGGCAGGGTAACTGGCCAGGAGTGAACTTCCTCAGATTGGAGATGCTCTCAAGTGCTAATTTCTCCTGCCAACCTCTTCTTTCTAGATCATTTTGACCACATCAGGACAGTCATCGGCTCTGAGTTCATTGGGATTGGTGGGAACTATGATGGGTCCGGAAGGTGAGTGTTTCCCCTGGGCTTATTTTGGGCTGGGGTGCAGCAGCAAATTTCTCAGCCTTAGTTCCCTATCCGAAAGTCTGACCATCCTTCAGGCGATCTTCCAGCCAGGTCTCTTCACCCCACTCACAAGCTAAAGGAATCCCTTTCATGTACCACTCCCTAGCCCAGAAGATCTGTTGTTAGCCACAAAAACTCAGTCTTTTCTAAAGTTGTATTCACAGCTCTAAAGAACCTGGCCCTCAGTTTTAGTTACATATACTTGGGGCTGGTGGAGCGGCAGCCTTAGGCCAGGATTAGGGCCAAGTTCTCATGGTGGGTATCTGCACAGGTTCCCTCAGGGGCTGGAGGATGTGTCTACGTACCCAGTGCTCATAGAGGAGCTGCTGAGACGGGGCTGGAGTGAACAGGAGCTGCAAGGTGTCCTTCGAGGGAACCTGCTGAGGGTCCTCAGACAAGTGGAAAAGGTACACCGGTTATAGGGAAAGGATAACACATTAGTCAAGCCTCTGAAAGAACAGAACAAAGAGAGAATTTATGGCTTGGCTTACAGGCAATGGTCCATGGCTGTCTCCTGATGGGAAGGTCAAGAATGGAGCAGTAGTTCAGTCAGAAAGACTGAGTGTCTCAGCCATCTCAGTCTAGTGCTGAGGTCCTAGAAAATTCCTGGAGAGCTGTTGGTCTCTCAGTAGCCATTGGAGTCCCAAAGAAGTAGGTTCAAATACTAGGGAAAGAATGCCTCAGCTAGATGAGCTTTCCAGCTAGTGTGAGGGCAAGCAGGCAAAAAGCAAATGCTTCCTTCTTCCATGTTCTTTCGTATGGGCGGCCACCAGAAGGTGGCCGAGGTTTACCATGGCTCTTTCACCTTCAAATCAAGAAAATAGCTTGGTGTGGTGGCTCATGCCTTTAAACCCAGCATTTGGGAGGCAAAGGTAGGAGGATTTCTGTGAGTTACACCAGCCTCATCTACAAAGTGGGTTTCAGGACAGCCAGGGCTGTTACACAAAGAAACTCTGTTTCGGAAAAACAAAAACAAAAAGCAAGCAAGCAAACAAAAATCTTAAGGCTGGAGGGATAGCTCAGTATTTGGAAGCACAGGCTGCCCTTCCAGAGGACAGCCTCACACAGGCAAAACAACCAATTCGAATAAAATAAAATTAAAATAAAAAGTCATTAAAATTTTTTTAAACCCAGACAGTGGTGGATCCACCTTTAATCCCAACACTCCGGAGGCAGAGGCAGGCAGATCTCTTGAGTTCCAGGAACAGGGCAAGTTCCAGGAACAGAGTGAGCTCCCAGATAGCCAGGATTACACAGAGAAACTATCTGAGAGAGACAGAGACAGAGAGAGAAGAAGAGGAGATGAGGAGAGGGAGAGGGGGGAGGGGAGCGGGGAAGGGGAGGGGAGGGAGAATCTCTCACAGGCATGCCCAGTTGATTACAGGTGTAGTCAAGCTAACAATTAAGTTTGGCTATCACAGGTGGGTAGTTCACTGATGGGCACATTCCAGGTGATGGTTGTTGGGGTGTCCTATTTCCTCCCCCAGGTGAGAGAGGAAAGCAGTGAGCAGAGCCCGGTGGAGGTCAAGTTCCCAGACAGGCAGTTGAGCAGTACCTGCCACTCCCACCTCATACCTCAGGCTCAGGACAAACAGCAGGACACGCACCTGAAGGTGACCAAGCGGCCAACTAATCAGGTCCTCCGGAGGGCCTCAAACTCACCCCCATGCCCCATTCCAGGCCTCATGGCTGCTGTCACCTCCCTAGCCCTCATCCTTTCGCTTTGGTGATCTGGCCACAGTGTGACAAAATCCACAAAGTTCCCCTCCTCATTGCCCAACCAAGCTTATATTGAGAATAAATACTTAAAACATTTCACCAAGTATTCCTGTCCTTCCTTCTTTGTTGCTGGGACCAGCTCTTGGTGAGGATTCTTGCAGCCTTGGTCCTCCAGAAGGGCAGAGGCAGCCCACCAGATACTTACACTGAAAACTGGAGCCCCTAGAACAGCATGACCAAGGATCACTGTGACAGTGACCTTCTTCCCAGTGAAAGGCTATATTTGTTGTTTGTTTTAGGGCTTTGTTTATTTTGTTTTGGAGATCTAGTCTATATTGTCCTAGCTGGCCTAGAACTCTTGGGTTCAATGATCCTCCTACCTCTTCCATTCAAGGACTACAATTTGAAGCATGTGTTATCATGCCTAGCTTTCTGGCTTTCCTTCCTCCATATAAAAATGAGTTTGGCAGCACTCAGGAGACAGAAGCAGACGTCTCTCTAACTTTGAGGTTTGAGGCCAGCCTGGTCTATAGAGAATTGTAGGCCAGCCAGGCCTGCATAGTGAAACTCTCTCAAATGAAAGAATAAATAATACCGGTCCTGATCTAGATACGCTGACGCCAGCCTCTGATTTTACAGGCAAGATCATCTAAAAAGTCAAGACCAGACCTGTCTATATACCGAGTTCCAGGGCAACTAGGGATACGCATAGTAAGATCCTTTCTCAAAAACAACAGAGCTGGGCGTGGTGGCATACCCCTTTAATCTCAGCACTCGGGGAGGCAGAGATAATTGGATCTCTGTGAATTGGAAACCTGCCTGGTCTACAAAGCAAGTCCAGGACAGCCAAGCCTAGAGAGAGAAACCCTGTCTCAAAAAAAAAAAAAAAAAAAACCCACAAAAAACAAAAACAAACAAAAAATAACAAAAACCTAACAGGGCTACAGAGATGGCTCAGAGGTTAAGAGCATTGCCTGCTCTTCCAGAGGTCCTGAGTTCAATTCCCAGCAACCACATGGTCCTCACCATCATCTATAGTGAGATACGGTGCCCTCTTCTGGCTTGCAGTTGCACATGCAGACAGAACGGTATATACATAATAGATAAATCTTTAAAAAAAAAACAAAAACAAGAAACTTCTTCGAAATGATAGGAAAACAGTTATGATCTGAATACAGAGACACTGGACATAAAAAGCAGAAAATTGAAATTAGTAACTTTTATGCATTAATATCAAATACTACCAAAACAGTGAGAAAACAGGCCAACAACCAGGGAGACATTTTAAACACAATTGACAGAAACCTTATATCTGGAGTTAAACAATCTGATATGAAAATCAGCGAAGCTCTAAATATGTAGAAGCAGAAGGATCAAAAGTTTGAGGCCAGCCTGGGCTACTTAGCAAGACCCTGTCTCAAAAACAAGCAGGCTGGAGAAATGGCTCATTGGTTAAGAGCACTTGCTGCTTTTGCAGAGGACATGGGTTTGGTTCCCAGCACACATGCTGGCTTATTAACTGTCCTTAATTCTAAATCCAGTGGCTCTTAAACCCTCTTCTGCTTTCCTCAGGCACTAAACACGGTCACAGTACAGACACACATGGAGGGAAAACATTCATGCACACATAAATAAATATTTTTGCTTTGTTTTGTTTTTTAAACAGGACTCACTATATAGCTCTGGCTGGACTGGCAGGGCTCTAGACCAGGATGGCCTCAGACTCATAGAGATGCACTTGCCTTTGCCTCCCAAGTGCTGGAATTAACCAGCCTCGCTAATAACTTTTTAAAAACAGCCAAATGTGCTGCCACTTGCCTTTGATTCCAGGACTCAGGAGGTAGAGGAAGGTAGATCTTGCTGATAGTGCTGAACAGTAGCAGATAATAAAAGTTAAAATTCTTGGGGCCTGGAGAGATGGCTCAGAGGTTAAAAGCACTGGCTGTTCTTACAGGGGTCCCGAGTTTAATTCCCAGCAACCATGTGGTGGCTCATAACCATCTATAATGAAATCCTTTGCCCTCTTCTGGCCTCTGAAAGAACAGCCAGTGCTTTTAACCTCTGAGCCATCTCTCTAGCCCAAATACAGAATATTAAGAATATTGTAAAGAGATTTTAATAAGAACTTAACCCAAAAAAAGGAAATCAAAATTTCTGTAATCATATAAAAAGGTATTAGCCAGGAGGGAACTTCAAGATGAAACTTCTAAATTGCTGGGTTGCTGGGGGTGTATCTCAGTGGTAGAGCATAGCCTAAGCAGGATGAGGCCCTACTGCTCAGGCCCCAACACCAAAAAAACAAACTCAGTGTCTTAGTTACTGTTCTGTTGCTGTGAAGAGACACTGTGACCAATGCAACTCTTACAAAACAAAACATTTAACTGGGAACTTTTTTACAGCTCTACAGGGTTAGTCCGTCAGCATTAAGGTAGGAAGCAAACAGTCATAGCTGGAGCAGTAGCTGAGAACTTTACATCCTCATCTGCAGGCAACAGGCAGAGAAAGAGACCAGGCCTGATATGGGCTTTTTTTCTTTTCTGTTCTTTTTTTTTTTTTTTTTTCCTAAACAGGGTTTCTCTATGAAGCCTTGGCTGTCCTGGAATCATTTCAGAAATCCGCCTGTCTCTGCCTCTCTGAGTGCTGGGATTAGAGGCATGCACCACTGCACCCAGCTTGATATGGGCTTTTTAAACCTCAAAACCCATCCCCAGTGACACACCTCTGTTGGGGGTTGGTCTGGTGCTATATGAATACAAATGCTAAATTTCTGTGCCCTGAGATTTGGTTGCAATCTGGACATGGCATTTTCATGTACACCAAACCATGTTGTATAAATTTTGTTCCCCAGTTATCTCTACTTGGTTAATAAAAAAGGCTGGACCGTTTGTAACTGGGCAGAAGAGAGATAGGTGGGGCTTCATTTCCCGGGCTTGGGGTCTCAGGTAGGGATCTTGAGGCCAGAGGGGAAAAGGGAAGGAAGAAGAAGATGGAGAGAAAGGATGTGGCCTGATGAAGCAGTGTGAAGAATCGGTGAGAACAATCCAGACAGGGCCAATATTGGCAAGTTACTTGGGGCTTGTGGCTGGGAAGTAGCCAGTCTAGCTTAAAGTATGTAGTATAAATTGTTCCTGCCCAGTTATTGTACTTAAAGATTGTTGAATAAATCAATAAGTCTCTGTCTCAATTATTTGGGAGCTAGCCAGGTTAGAAAAACCTGCCAAATTAGTACATTTCCTACAATACACCTCCTCTTACAAAGCCATACCTCCTAATTCTTCTCAAACAGGTCCACTCGCTAGTGAATGATGAGCCTATATGGAGGCTATTCTCATTCACACCACACACTCGGTTTTGCAGCTTCCTTTTTCAGCTGCCTAACCCACTTTTAGCTGCAGAGAGCCTTTCCTTTCTTAATAAACTTCTACTAAACAAACAAACGCTCATAATGAAGATGCCCAGGATCCAATACATTAAAACCTTTTATGTTAGGCCAGGTGGCAGCACACAACTTTTATCCCAGCACTCGGGAGGAAGATGCAGGCAGAACTCTGAGTTCAAGGCCAGCCTGGTCTACAGAGAGAATTCCAGGGCTATGCAGAGAAACCCCGTCTCCAAAAAAAAACAAAACAAAACAAATCACCAGCACAACAACAATAACAACAAAAACCTTTTATATCTATGTTTGTTGGTTTTAACATAAATTAACCGACTTATTGCAGGGTAGGGATGTCTCAAACAGTTCGTTTCTGCTGGGTCTTTTGATTCCTTCTGTCTTCTGGTCAAATTTGTAACAGCAGGAGTGGTGGTTTAGGTCCAGGACCTGCCAGGCACTGTTTTCATGTGGGAACTGTAGTGCCAGTTGCCACGGGTTGGTCTTTTCACAGAAGGAGCTAGTGTGCTTGGCATGCTAGCCAGTTTTGATTTTCATCACCATTTTCAAGAAGGAGGCATCACAGTGAGTCCTCTATTTCCTGAAGATCCATGGTTTAGCCACGTTACCACTGCTGAAACATAAGCCTGAGCCTGGAACATCCATGGCTTTTTATTTTGCAATCGAATCATTGCGCTAAACCATTCCACACTTGGTTATATAATTTTCAGGTTTTCCCTATAGCAGATTTTTTATTGACGTGAATTGTATGTAATATAAAGTTAACTATTTAAAATTAAAGATGGGTCCGGTGGCGCACACCTGTAATCCCAGCACTCCAGGGAGGCAGAGGCAGGCAGATCTCTGTGAGTTCGAGGCCAGCCTGGCCTACAAAACAAGTCCAGGACAGCCAAGGCTACACAGAGAAACCTCGTCTCGAAAAAAAACGAAAGCGAACAAACAAAAATAAAACAAAACAAAAGGCAAATTCAGAGCTGGGGAGACTTAAAATGTATAGCTGGATCAGAGAGTTTTAGGTTCAGGAAGAGACAATCTCTCAAAAAAATAAAGGTGGATTAGGATCTTGTCTGGGGAACGGGCCACAGGTGCCATGTTCTGTCATGGAGATGATAAAAGAGGCCCCTGAAACAGCTCAAGATGGTTGAGGAAGACAAGGCTTGCAAGCAGAAGTAAAAGGAGAATGGAAGCAATTCAGGTGCTAACAGCCAAGGCTTTGGGGAAGGGCCTTGGCCCCAGGTGAAATTATCTGGCAAAAAGTAAGCAGTTCCTTATTACCAGAGCTGATGGCCAACATCAGCTAGTTAAACATCTGGATCCCCGCTGTACTGTAATCTTTTGCCACCCATAGCTATACCTACCTCTAGGTATTTAATCACAGCACAAAGGAAAGTGAAGATGGCTGGCTAACAAGCCCCAGGGTTCTCTGTCGGACCTCCCTATTACTGCGATTACAAGTGTCTAGGTTTATTTGGTTTTTAATGTGCATGTGTGTGTTTGCCTGCTGAGTTCATGTGTACCACATGTGTGCCGGAGTCCACAGACGCCAGAGGAGGGTATCCATCCCGTGGAACTGGAGTAGCAGACAGCTGTGAGCCACCATGTGGTGCTGGGAACAGAAATCAGATTCTCTGCAAAAGCAGTAAGTACTCTTAACTGCAGAGTGGAGCCATCTCTCCAGCC